GAAGCAGAACATCCTGTCGATGAAGAACGGCAACGTGCTGAGCAAGATATGAATGAACGGGCTCATTTGGTGAGTTAAATATGAAGTGATGATGTCTATTGGCAGGTTTTCGCAGCCTACTTCTTGTGAGTGTTGGGCGGCGTTGATCGACAGGCCTATGGTTTTGTTAGATAGTTTGCGGCTAGGGTGTAGTATCAAAAGAAAAGGGGATCGATGCAAGTGCTCATAGAATATCTGGAAAATCAGTTAGAAGGGACGCAGCAAAAGTTCGCTTGGGACGTCTGGCATTCGTGGAAATAAAAAGAAATTGGCTGGCGTAGAAGCTCTTTCACAAAAGCGAAACGGAAGTGTGACAAAAGGAATGTGCATGTGCCACGTAACGGGAAGTTTTGGAGGGTAGGAGGAATATTGGGAAAGAAAGGATGCTCGATTCCTGCAAAATGCTGTCCAACAGGGAAGATGTCGCGATGCATTTGTAAACGTCACGAAAATTCTTTATGATGGAATAATGTCTCCTTTCCAGCAGAGTCAAACAAAGCGTCGAAGTGCTGGTCCAGCGCCGGGAGCAGTTCCAATTATGCCGGGTATTGCCCAACCGGTGACTCCGAAAGAACGGCCACAACCCAGAGAGGAGCTACCAGTGAGTGTTTTTAGCCACTTCCAGAATTTGTTCTCATTTCTAGTTATTATTATCGTATAGGCAAGTCCACCTCCGGCACCAGTGTCTGTTCTGCCTCCCATTGGACAAGGAGCCTCGCACACTCCATCAGTTCCACCTGCTTCTTATGTTAATGCAAGTGCGTTTGTGTTTCCTATTACATTGCTGTTGTTTTGTTTACATTTTGAAAATGACAAATATTCACAGCACTTGCTTGCGAACTTCGACGTCCTCCCTCCAGTGACGAGGAGGAGAATAACGATGCCGAATGGGAAGAGGAAGACGTTGGTCCGAAGGTATCCGATGGCTTCCACCCACACATCTTTTGATAGTAGTTGTATAGTCAATTCTGAAGTTAGTATTTCTCAGGCAGAGTCTCATGCAAGACCATCAGCAGCACCTCCAAGTACTCCTTCCGTTCCTGTTGCAGAGGAGGTGAGTGTTGATTGCAAAAGCTTATTTCGAAACATGATTGCTAGGAGTAGATTTTTGAGTTTATGGCAAGACCGCCGAAGTGACTTTTAGAAAGAGAAGACCAAGAGTTTAATTTAGTCTTTGAAGGTACAATTGACTCAGTCTACTGACATTCATAACGGAAGGTTCGATCAGCTCGGACATTTTCCAAAATTGCTGGTCATATCAATGTCTTATCTGGCGTCTGGTCAAGATTTGGTAGAGGAAGAAAGGCAAACACATACTAGGATAGGGCAAATAGCAATGAATCCTATGAGGGTCACTGGGTTTTCTCTCCATTCGTAATCTTAGGAACTATACACGAACCATAGCAGTAATCTGGAGAAAGCATAATTGGAATAATTGTAGGTGTTGAAGGCTGCGACATAGCATTATTACAATGAAGAATTATTAGTAGCAGTGACCCTGGGGACTAGAATGGCAGAGGTCCTTGGATTCAAAAAAAGCCCTCGTGTAGGCGAATATATTGCATATGCTCATTTTGTTGTTTTTTTGGGGCATAAATTAGGATACTCAGGCTTTTTGTCCTACCCCCAACCCTTTCCCAACCATCTTCACCAGAATCAATTACTCTTTCACGGGAACCAGGCGGCAAAAGAAAAGAGCCCGTAAGTGCAGCTTTTGTGACAAAAATATTGCAGGCCGCTTGGAAATCATTAAAAAAATCTTTCCGCAAAACGACCGGTCGCCTCCAGTACTTGTAACCTTGTGGGCGAGTGTGGTAGTGCCATTGGCGCACTATTACACGCATGGTCCGCTAACGTGTGCGATGCTGTCCGAGGTCAACCAAGCTTTTCATTTCTCTAGGTTCTACTCTTTCTACGGCTGTTTGGGAAGGCTATGGCCTCCAATGGGCGGAAGTGGTGTAGTGGCAAGTGGTACACTAGCTCACACACACGGTCAAGGGTTCAAATCCCGAATCGATATTTGTCTAAGCCTTTCATCCAACGGGGTCGGTTAGCTGGTAGCAGACTCGTCTGGGAGGATAAAAGCTTTGACTTGTGCATCGGTTGGCCATCGCAAGTCATTGTA